GTCACCATTTCCATATGCTTTAACAGCACTTGTATGTCTCCTTCCTAACAACTTTCACAGTGGCAACTTTCATGTGTATGCAGTGATAAATTCTCCTGTCTCTCTCAATATCTTGCAGCCTCCATAAGGGTAGTGATCACATATTCTTGCCTACTGTTGCATCTCTAGAATTTAGCATAATGTCTGACACATAGTCAGTGCTTAATAAATAACTGCTAAAAATACTATGAAACATACTCAATAGTGGTAATGGTTAGTGTCTGGATATATTAGCCAAAAATCATTCAAATCAAAGATGAGGAAGGTGAAAGCTTGGCTATTCTTGTTTTTATCAAAAGGTATAGAACAATTTTGCTACTATTGGGGTCATAAACTGATTTTGGAGACAATTCTAAAATGTTTGACTAGAAAGTCAAGTACATTCATTTGACTATGCACAAAAATGACCAATTTTAAAATGTAATTAAAAAAATAAGAGTTGATTTTTTAAAAGTTTCACATAGGTTAGGCCAAATTAAAAAGGAAAAGCAACCATTTCTTTTATCAGGCATGATATTAAGCACTCTACATCTATTTTCCTCCCATTTAATCCCATTCCAGTTCACAGATAAAGAGATTGAGAATGCACAATGAGTAAGTGACAGAACCAGGATTTGCATATAGGTCTGTTTTATTTCACAAGACATGCTTTTAATCTGAGCCATGTTTTTAAGCTAAGAAATAAATGCTAACAGGGAGTGATAATATGTTATTACCTGTCTCTCAAACACCCCCTTCTCTGCCTTCCATGACAAGGTACAACCCTGTAGTCTGGAATCATCACCATTTGGGGCAAATGCCCAAATATTTAAAAAGGATTTGAATGTCAATGATGTTTCAGCAGGAAAACAAGATAATTTATGAAAAATCAATGGGAGAAATGTGAACTAGTATTTTGTGTTTGTTAGTTTTTTTTGTTGCTGAGACCAAAATACCTGACATGATCAACTCAGAGAAGGAAACATTTATTTGGGGCTCACAGTTTCAGAGGTTCAGTCTGTGATTAGCAGATTCCTTGCCCTGGGCCTGAGGTGGAGCAGAACATCATGGCAGAAGTGTATGGTGGAGGAAAGCTGCTTAGCTCATGGTAGTTAGGAAGCAGATAGAGGAGGAAAGGAGCCAGGGACAAGATATAGTGCAAGGACATCCCCCACCCACATGAGCCACTTCCTCCAGCCATGCTCCATCTGCATTCAGTTGCCTCCCAGTAGTTCATTCAAACTACTTATCTATCAAATGGAATAACTCAGTGATGAGGCTATATCTCCCATAAACCTAAATCAATCCACTCTGAACATTACTGTATTGTCTAATTCATGAATCTTTTGGGTACCTCAAGTCAAGAAAAGAGAGATTTTGAATAACTGTGGTGTTTGAATACCCCCAAATTCATTTTATCCTAAGCTTGTGACCTCCACACCATGCTTTTAGCTAGGAATAAGACTAAAGAGTAAAGGACAATATTTCCCAGACTCTGATTCAGGAAGTGAGATTAGGCATTAGGTACTAGACAATGAGATATAACAAGAATATGATGGTTTCTAGGAAATTTCCTTAAGAGACCATAGGTTTTTGCCTTTTCCCTCTTCTCCACTTTCTTATTTCCTTCTTCTACTATTGAGAACTTGGATGTGATGGCTAAAACTTCATCTTGGATCATGAGGTTGGGGCTCATCTTATAACGAAAGATCTAATAAAAGAGAATACAGAACTAGAATCCATCTCTAGATCATCTGTTTATAACTTTTACTTTTAATGAAAGAGAAACACACATCACTTGGTTTAAACCATCGTTCTTTGTGGTCTTGGTAAATGGTAGTTAAAGTTAACTAATCCAGCAACTAACCCAAAGTGAGGACAGTTCTAATGCAAACCCATCAGTTTGCAAAGTTCAAGCCCTTAGGTAAAAGCCTGAAGAACTCCTGGTTCTAAATTAGAATAGTTTTATTTATTTATTTTTTTAAAGTATTTTGAAATGCTGAAAATAATTTGACAGAAGAAAATAAAGAAAGTTTGAATATGCTCTCAATTTTGCATATGTGAGAAAGAATCCAAAGGAACATGCTACTTGGCCTTAAAGAATTTGGTCTCCATCAGAGATGCTTAGAGGAAGCTCTCAGTCCCCTGCATGGAGCTGGAAATAGAAAAAAAAAAGAGAAGCTGTGCACTGGCAGTTTCCATTAAAGTCCTACTGCAGAAGAGTGGGCATTGCAGAAGGAAGCTGTGCAAACGAACACAAGATGAGACAGACAAAAAGACTTACAATGGACTCTGAAATTGAAGAAGCAGGAGATGAAGTTCAAATATACACAGCCTGGAAAGGGACAAGCAGAGTCATGTGACCCATATCAAAGATATGCTAAAGGCCAAAAAGGCAAAAAGGAAAGGTCAAGGTTGAAGCCCTGACAACTCATTTTTTATTCATTTCCTTTACTCAGTTCACAATAGCATTGAAGGAGTAAATTTAAATTGTGTTGCAATTGAGTAGAATCCTAAATGAAAGGAAGTCATAGAACAGGGAGTTTATTATTACCCTTTCTTTGATCATTCTCAGTGAACGGCAGTGATAAGAATTTAGGAGAAAGATTCAGTGATTGGAGTTAGTCCTAATTTTATTAAAGCTCAATCTTAATGATCCAAAAAAGAATAGACTATCATGTCTACCAAAGGCATTATTTTATACCCCAGCTAAAACTAAGTCACAATAAAGCCGTGTAGGAAGTTTAGAGAATAGAGATAAGAAAATAAAAATGAAAGATGGCAATAGCAATAAAGAAAGTCAGCAACATGAAAACAGACATGACACAAATTAGAAGGCATTTTATAAGTGGCTAAATTAATTCTCCACTGTGCTTTGGTTTTCAAAAATTCCTTTTCTCCTTTTGGGTAGGCACAAGTCGAAGTTTTTGCTGGTACCTCCAGTGCTCTGGAAGTGGGTATAGCAGTGAGGGACGTTATACTGAAGGCAATGCAAACCATTCCACCAACTGGGGAGTAACATGACATAATCGGAATGCATTAATTTTTAATAACATCACTGGATATAAAAGAAGCTGGGGTGGAGAAATAACAATAAAATTTGAAAATTCAACTTGAAAGAGACTAAATGAAAATCAGGCACTGGATTAAATAGGCTATTTTTTTGTATGGTTTGCAGAGAAAAGAGGAACATACATATTTGAAATTTTTAAAAACTTGCTTATATGTAAAACTGGTTAAAGTCAGCATCTTCTAAATTTTAAAATATTTCCCCCTTCAACTTCAGGAAGCAAACACAAAATGACAAATCTCAGGCCCCTACCAGAAAATACCAAAATAGATCAGTCTAAAAAACTCTGGACAACCTAGTATTCTTTTAAAGTTGTATTCATCAGGGCCTTTTATTTTCATTGATGTTGCTGTTTTCATTCTATAGATTACAGTAAACTTAATTCTAACACACCTTTTTTTTTCTTTGAAAAGTGGGTATTAAGAAAAGTGCTACAACTCAACTGTGCACCCAATGACAGATTTATCCACTCCACTCCCTGAATGAAGGGCCCTCTTTTAAGCTTAGAGCAGTATCAGACATGTTAGAGCTTATAATCTTAAATCATACAGGCCTAATTACCTGGGGGATTAACTGTCATTTACATTCTCTTCAAGAGTGGAGCTGCTGACTAGGAAAGCCAGGGGCCAAGGAAAGTCACCTTGACATCCACAACTCAGACCATTTGGGGTTCTCAGGAGGAGTAACCTGTGCACAGATGGGTACTAGACTCGTTAATTAATTATACTGTTCTTTTCTGTTATTTTATCTGTACACCTAGATTTAGGAGACAACAGTCTGGTAAAGGCACATGCCACTTAATTATTAGTAGTAGAAGCCATAGACAGTTGAAGCGCTGGGACTGGACCCAGGGCCTTGCCCACGCTAAGCTGGTGCTCTACCACTGAGCTACACTCTCAGCTTCTAATTCTTTTCAATACACGCTGAACAAATAACCTATTTTAAATTGATTACATGTTTACAATTTAAAATTTTTTATGCAAATATGTTTACAGTAGAGGTTTTATGTGTATGTGTGTGTGTGTGTGTGTGTGTGTGTGTGTACGCATTGTTGTAGGCAGGGTGGATTATTCAAGAAAAAACAAAAACACAATGGTTTTTGTTTTTAAATTTAGGTTTGTCCTTTTGTGAGGTTGGGGGACAGGCGGTGGAATATTGAGAGAGAGCCTTTCTGACACAGAGAAAAGTCTTTCACAAATGACATCTGATTAAGGGCAACCTATGGACTTTGGGAAGTCAGTTGAGGACGCAGATTAATGAGCCAACTCGCAGCCTCCTCCCTTCTGCCCTCTCAGCACCTGCTCAACTACAGCTCAGGAGAAAGAAACTCTGAACCTCTCTCTTAATGGGCATCAGTTGCCCCCTACTACTTCAAACGGAAGAACCACGAATATCACCAAATTACAGACGAATACCAAGTATCCAAGAGCATAAAATGTTTGCCAACAAGCAGCGCCAAGGCAGGGGCAAGTGAAAACAACCAAATACAGACCCCTTGAGGGAGTTTCACTCATCTGGGGAGAGACCCCAGCCTAAGAAAGCAGAACCTTTTCCCCGGGCGCCCCGACGACTCACACACAGGTGCAGAGCCCAAGTGCTGGGGCAGAGATGGGATCGACTTGGCGTGGCTGCCCACTCCTCCTGCCCCAAGAGACCCCAGCATCTAGGAGAGGTCCTTTCAGGGGTAATGCTCCCCTCTCTCTCAAAGGCAAGGGAGCAGTGAAGCCCCCACTCATCTCTCTGGCCGCGCCACCTGCCCATAGCCTCGCTTGCAGGTGAGGCTTGGACAGGTAACCGCACCTGCTCAGCCAACCCCACCTGCTGCGTCCCCTTACCCTGCCCTCCTCCGCCTTCACCACCTGGGTCTACTCGGCTCCTCCTTAGCCAGCCCGGGTGTCACGCTCCGACCTACCTGCGCGACTCCAGCCCCGGGCGCCGGCGCTCTCCGCAGCGTGCGCCCCGCGCCCCGCGCCTCTCCAGGCGCGCCGGCGGCGGCCTGCGCCCGCACTTTCCCGGCTGCCCGGGGCTGCGGACTCAGCGGGAAGCCCCGGCGCTGCCGGGCTCGCCGCCTCCGACCGGCTCCATTGTGACGCGTCGCGTTCCGCCGGCCAATAGGCGCGCGGAGGCGCGAACCGCTGACTAAGTTCGAGGGCGGAGGAGGAGGGGACGGGGCGGAGGCTGGGAGGAGGCAGGGTGGAGGCGGCGGCCGCGGCGGTGGCAGTGGCAGCGGCGGCGGAGGAGAAGAAGGAGGAGGAAGAGGCTGCGGCCGCTTGGGTAGCCGCTCCTGCTGCAAATTTTTCAACTGCCTGAGCCTGAGCGTTTGCCTGGCTTTGGGACTGCGGGGGCCGGTGACTCACCCTAGCTGCTGGAAACAAAGCGCAGCTGCCATCTCCTCAAGCGCGCCATGTGGCGGCCCCGGCCCCCTCACCCAGCCTCGGGTCCGCAGGCAGCAGGAAACAGCCACACGTTTGGCTGCAGAGCTGGAAAGATCGGGGCTGTAGAGGCTTGGAGGGAGAGGGGCTTAGGGCTGTCCCCTAGGCGCGCCTAGCAACTCTGGTAGTACACCTTGTGTTGGGCCCCGCCTTCTCACGTGTACGTCTAGGAGTAACTTGTTATTTACATAACGCTTGTTGGGCCCTGGGGGAAAGGTTGGGTGCAGCTAGTAGCAAGCCTCGGTCTTAACTCACAGAAGTCCCTTGATGGTTCTTGGTTCCCTTCGGGCTTGGAAAGGTTGCAGGGCAGAGCGCTTGGTAGAGAAGGTTTCCACTTGTACCACACTAAGAGGCTAAATCAAGTTAGATTCTGGGCCTCAGGTATCAGTTACCTCTTTCCAATGTCCTTTCCTCAGGATGAGGAGGGAACAACATGGTAGAGGGACCATCCCCTATACTCATAAACAGTATTTTACTGCTTATCAACTGCAAGTCCAACCTATCTAGGGCCCTACCTGCTTCTTTACAGTTTAGTGACCTTCAATTTGAAGAATAACCATGTACCTTTAAAATTTTGGATTTGATATTTTTATCTCAACCACTCCTTACTCTATTCTCCTTCTACTCCTTTTAACCCAGACTCTGCCCAGACTGATTTCCAGTATAATGATTCAATAAGACAAGATTTATATCTGTTAGTTGCTATGGTGATCACATTACTATTTAAAAAAGAAAATGTACAAGGATCTCCCAAAGAAAAAAATTGAAAAAAAAATACAGCATTGGGACCATCTGATCAGTTTGTCTAAATGGGATAAGAAGATGCTCTACTGAGTTATCTGAGACTGAATTGCATCCCATAGAGATGAACTACAATTTGAATCATTTTGAAAGGTAATAAGAAAGCTGTCTTTGTATTGCTTCTCTGTTCTTTCCTTGTCCACTCTATTCTAGGTTAGCAGCTGTCTTTTTCCTGAATCTTGGAGGAAACCCTGAAAGAACATTCCTTCATTTGGTCACTCAAGATTTTATGGAGTTGTGTATATGAGAGACTGTATACACAGATCTTTCAGTCTAATTTAGATTTGGGTGTGATCCTCAAACTGTTTGCCACCTGGAGAAAGAAAAAAATACGTACTTATAGTTATTAAACCAGGGAAAAATTGCCCTAAGAGATACAGATTATAAAACCATATCATTGAAACTTGAAAACATCAAATTCTGCAACTGTATCTTTGAATGGTAAAGGACTAAACATAAATGGATAATCCTCTTACAGATCCATAAACAAGATATTCCATCCTTCTATCACAGCAATATAATTACTTATGTGAGTTAAATAGTTACTTAGCTTATTTGGAGTCAGTACCCTCATCCATACAATAAGAGGTTATAAACTACATGATCTGTTCTAATGATGATATGAATAAAAAGTGACTACTATGCTTGCTAATCCAAGTTATTATTAGCTGGAAGTTAAAGTGGCAGTCTTCATTCAAATTGTATTAGCTCTGGGTAAACCTCAGATACGTAGCTTTTATTTTTTAAAATATTTTTTAGTTGTAGATGAACACAATATATTTTTATGTGGTGCTGAGGATGGAACCCAGTGTCTCATGTGTGCTAGGCAAGCGCTTTACCACTGAGCCACAACACCAGCCCCAGAAATATAGCTTTTAAATGTGATTTCATTATTTTATTCTAGTTTTCATTAACAAAATTACTTTCCGTAATGACACCATTTATAACTGACACTGCAGATAGGATTTATGAATTTGTGATGTTCCATTCAGGCATACCCTTCTGAAATTTGAGCATCAAATCGATGTTTCTCTTTTTTTTTGATATGTTTATAAGCTTCTGCTTGTATTACAGTGAAAAGAATAACCTCAAACTTTTAAAAATACAATGCATATAATATGAGTCCATAAAGAAAGCATATTTGGCAACTCAGGGTAGATTTTGTAATGAGAATGTAATTGTTTGACTGTTTGACTTCTTATGCCTGTGCCCAAGTTTCACATTACATTGTAATCTCTTTGAAAATAGGATCTGTGGAACCTTGGAATATGTTCAGTCCTTACAAGAGTATCTGAAATTCTCTGAGGGACTATGATCAATTTATTTTGGTAAACAAAAATCCCAAAAGACTCAGATGCTATTTCCACAGCCAAGTTTGTCCAAGTCTAAAATAGTGATTTAAATTAGTGATTAAAAATTGCACCATGGATACAAAGCCCTTATTATGTGCCTAGTGGGTGGTAGACAGCATGGGCAGTACTCAGGGGGCTAAAACTTGGTCTCTGACCTTGATATCCTACAACCTAGATGAGCACAGAAAACAAGTGCTTCTTGTGGTCAATGAGACAGAGCAGTGAGAAAGGGAGTAGCAAGAGAGAACCTCATGAAGGAAGGGAAACTAAGATTTGGGTGGGGGGGGAAAGAAGGTTTGAGAAGTAACTCATCCTGTACTTTGCCCAAGACATTGTCTTAAAATGACAATGGACCTTTAGGGCTTTTTTTTTTTTTTCCATGCTGAGAATCTGAAGAAGAAATGAAAATAATAGTTGGTAGGGTTTTTACTTTCACGTGATAAATGAGAGGAGTAGAAACAACTAATGCCCTCAGTTCCCCTGTACAATGACACCAGCAAAGTCACCAGTGATAGAAATGCAATGATTACTGCATTTGTAATTTTGTAGCTGAATTCTGTGATCCACAGAAGTGATCACATAACTCCTGGGATTGGCAAGTCTCTCCTGGGTGGATTCCCTTGAAAAAAAGAAAAAGTCTTTGAGTGATATCAGTATTAAGCTATGCTGCATGTGGCTGCCCTGATAAGAGTTTAGTTTTCTCTTAATCTTGAGAAATTTTTATAATTAATAGGAGATGGAATATTAAGAGCTCTTATCCATTTCAGTATTCTACAAATTCTTTATAATGAAAACTCCCATTTTTTCTTTTACATTAAACATTGAATGTCCACAAAGTATATAAGAAATCTGGAGAGCTGATAGATGTGAAGGAGAATACCAAGATAAAGAGAATAATTTCTTTCTTTCTTTCTTTTTTTTAAGCTATAATACTCTGGTAGTGAAGGTATATCCAGTGTGCATATAGCATCCTAAAGTGAAGGTGAGGTTGGGTAGTACCCTAGGGTTAAGGAAACATTGTACTAATAATTGAACATATTACTTTTAAATCTTGTTTCAGCCTCAAGGTTCAAGGTTCTTATTTCTATTGTGTCAGGTAAGAAAAAGAGCAAAATTTAGACTACTTTTGCTTTCTCAGCAACTTTCACAGATTCCCCAGGTTCAGCTGTATATGACTGAGCACATTGTCATTGATGAAGCATTTTTATTTATTTATTTTTGGTGAAAGAGTTCACCATATTTTTCTGACTTTTTCCATCTCTTGGTTACAGTGGTTTAAAATAAATTTTCCTTGGGCCTGGGGTGAATTCCGAGAATAATCCCTGGGAATGAGCTCAATGATGAGAATTTTGCAATAGGCAGGACAAACTGGATATTGCACATATGTTTGGAGTAAGGTAGCTAGACCTAGAAGTCCAGACTGCAATTGTGCAAGGCAGGCTATACACTTCTGAGTTGGTCCCCTATCATGGTCCTAGCCTGAAACAGTCACAGCTGCTCTGTTCTCAACACCCACTGTGATGAGTTACCCTAACAGCCCCTTCCTTATCAGATCAGTGCGTGAAAATGACCCTCCTTTGAATCCTTTTCCTTAAAAGAAAACATCAGACCACCTAGATGTCCTTCAGTAGATGAATGGATAGGGAAACTTTGGTATGTATACACACAAACACACACACACACACACACACACACACACACACACATAATGGAACATTACTCAGCATTAAAAGAATAAAATCATGGCATTTGCAGGTAAATGGATGAAGTTGGAGAATATAATGCTAAGGGAAGCAAGCCGAATGCTTTCTTTGATATGAGGAGGCTTACTCATAATGGTGGTGGGGGGGAGCCAAATGGAGGAACTTTAGATAGGACAAAGGGAAAGGAGAGGAAAAGAAGGGTCAAGAGGATAGGAAAGATGGTGCAATGAGTTCGACATCATTACCCCTAAGTACATGTATGAAGACACGAATGGTGTGAAAATACTCTGTGTACAATCAATGACTTGAACAATTGTGCTCTATATGTGTAATATGAAATGTATTATATTTTGCCATCATGTATAACAAATTAGAATAAATAAAAAAAGAAAACATCAGTTCCTGCAGTATGATGCCTGGCATCCTCAGTTGATCTGTCTTCTGGGAATTTGTCCAAATATTTCTTTGAAAGTTTCCCATGAATCCCATTTAAAGAAAACCGGCTATCATCTGGGTCACATATTGGAATCCACCACAAAGCAGCCAGGCAGTGGTTGATTCTGTCCTTTTCTAATCCATAAAAAGGAGGTGACTTCTAAGAAAATATGTGCAAATGAAGTCAGGCAGAAAGCCCAGAATTAAAGAAGCACTGGTGCTCCTGTGCTCTGTGGCTGCAAATAGCCCCAAGGAGTCCTGCAAGTGACTGCAACAGGACTTGCTGGCATCCCTGCAAGGCATCACTGTGTTCCCCAGATCTTGAAATCTGTGCAAGAGGTTTCTTGGTGCCATGAAAGTGACTGTCCCCTGAAGTTCCTCATAGTGAACCTTTCTGTCTCTCAGATTTGAAGTAGCCCCATTTTTATTTCCCCTTTTTCTTCTCCTCAGCAGCTGTGCTTTGTTTTTGTGGCCTAATATAAGAACATCTGTCAACTAGAAACCACATTAAATACCGAGCTTCATGCTCAACGAAGTTGATCCCCAAAGAATAGGAACTGGTACATCTCTGGTAATTTATTAAGGATTTAAAAAATAGTTGGGAAAATAACAAGTTCCAGAATATTTCTAAAGCTGGAGAAGAAAAAGATGTGTGCTAGAAAGAAAATTGATCTTGGGGTTTCCTGGTAGCTCTTCTGGTCATGGGATTTAGGGTAGGTCTAAGCAGAACTTTCTGTTTTCCAGAGTCATTGTGTACACCCATGCGGGCTGTGTAAGAAGACAGCTTGACTGTGGCTTGCTCCTGTCCTCTGGAGAATGCTGTGAAACTGTGTTTCAGGAGGGCGAAG